GGACTAACCCAGCTAGGTTTGTGTAAGTACTCTGACATTTGGACAATGCTGAAACCGCCTACAGATGCATGTCTTAGCACACGGTCCTGCTGCGGGGCAATGCACGGCTGACCATAGAACTAAAACTAAAACTATCGTTATTTGTTTGAAGCTTTTCAGTTTATGTATTTTCTTTGTGAGGGACAGAGACACAGGCACCATCGACAGGGTCTTCACACCATGACCTTCCCACAGCACTGCAGCTGGCTGGTCGCACAGGCTCAACCGTGGGCGGGTCTGGCACGTGTGGGCAGAGGTAGACTGCACAGAGCCTTGCCACGTGGCTCCAGCCGCGGGCAGCAGTGCTCTTACTGCCTGTACCGCTGCAGCAGGGCCCGTGAATTACCTTTAAATCATACTGACGATGCGAAATTATGCCCTGCAAGAGGTTGTGAGCATACTAGCAGTAATTATATCAGGAACCTGAGAACATGCAAACAGACCCCGAGCACAGCTGTCCTGGGTTAAAGACAGACCAGCACTTGTTACCGTTTATCGGCCATATGCTCCCTGCCATTCCCTGTACATCCGGGCTCTCCCTTAGGGCCCATGAAGCTCCTGAGAGGTTAGCAACTTCTCGTGTCTCGTTCTGCTGTGTTCCAGAACCCAGGAAGAGCTGACTCCAGTATTTCCACTCTTCACACTACATTAAACTTGGTGGTGAGGAGGAAAGTACAATTAGAAAACTAATCTGCTGTTTGTGTTTTTCTTACAGAAGTCTTTTTTTTTTTTTCTTTTTAGGGGAAAAAAAGTTCGCTTTCTTTAATGTTAATAATATCCATGAGCAAATGACAGAGTAGGCGCATTATACAAATGTGTTTACATTTCAACTGTTTCACTTTCTAAAGAGACCCAGGATCAATTATTTGCTACGTACACGATATTCTGCAGATACCTATAATCAGAACAATTATTTGTTACACACACAAAATTGTATCTCTACCTATAATCAAGGCAGAGAATTTTTAACAAGCTGACAAGTAATTATATTTTGCAATAAGAAAATGCTCTGGGGTCCTATAGAACATTCCTTAATTGTTCTTCTCTTCTACTTAAAACCGTGTGCCTTGAATTACGGAGAAGGACGTGAACGCTGTTTCCGTTGTTCGAAGGCTCTGTGAGGACCAGGCCCACAGCTTGCTTGCTGTACCCTGCAGTGCAGTCCACTGCTCTTCCCCAAAGGGTGAGAATTGCGGTGGCCTGGAATGTCACCATCACCTGGGAGGCAGATGGCAGAGCACTCTCACCGCAGGGCTCCCTGGGGACAGAGGGCCTACCGGGAAGCTGAAGGGCCCTGGAGGGAAGTGTGGGCAAACCTGCCAGGTGGAAGCTGAGGGTGTGCCATCCGGGATAATTGCAGGCCTAGGACAACCCACAGTGCCTGTCAGTATATCCGGACGTGGAAACGGAAACTCTGCTCATCACAGGCCACCTGTGAGGTGTAACCCGCTTTACCGTGAGCAGTTTCACAGGGAAATCTGCTCCATCAACCTCTCAGTGAGAGGGCCAAAAGAAATCAACGTACAATTTTTGACTAAGGCTTCTTGTTGTGGTGCAGGCTTTTCAAGTACACGTCTTTGATTTATTACAAGCCTTAAAATAGTGAAATATGAAACAGATCATTTGGAAGGGCCATGACAAAGCAACGGATGCATTTAAGTGTGCGTCTAAGCATCCCGGTGTGTCAGGCACACGCTGCCTGCACCGACTGGTGTCCAGATGGTACGAAGCCTGAGGGGACGCCAGGCCCAGAGGGCCCAAACCCTTCTGAGCGGTAGATAGAGTGGATACGTCCTTGGCACTCGGGCAGACCTTTTTTTCTTTATAAAGATGATGTAAGCTGTGTTCTGAGAGGCTCACTCACCTGGGAAGGGACTTAGTGGGCGACCTGGACCGCGGGGCCGGACCGTGGGATTGGACCATGGGTTTTGTGTGCTCTCTCGCTGCCTTTACTTTTTCAGGTTTATGTATTGAGAGAGAAGACAAACTCCTTCAGCAGGGCTCCATGCCATGATCCCAGGATAATGGGCGTGTGTCCAGTGTCTACAGGTTGACCCGAGTACTGACCTTGCAATCTTTTTTATTTTTTTCTCATAGGGCTCGCCAGACACAGAGAAAAACAGTGAGGAGAAGTGAGAGGTCACTCCCCAGAACAGATAGCCACGTTGCAATCCCATTCCCCCCATTTTCCTCCTAGGATTTTAAAAAATACATGCACAAGTGCCTGGTGTCATTTTTAAAGCCACCAGGTCCAGGACTCTAACTATGGTCAGTCATGTGGGAGTCCAGCCCTAACCACCATGCCACCTGCTGACCCTACCTGCAATCTTTTAAAAATTTATGTATTTACTTACCTCCTAAGTGAGAGAAAGACAGAGAGACAGCACTCCCAACGGGGTCTTCAATCATGAGTCACCCAGCTTCAGCCAGTCTGGCCTGGCTCATGGTCACATGCTTGCCTGGTGTGCTCAGAGGGTCTCAGACATGAACCCAAAGCTTCCCAGGTGAGTCCACCTCTCAGAGCGTCATCTTTCATCATTGCACTGCCCAGCCCCGAACTCACATCTCCTGAGCTATGCCTCCGAACCGGCCACTGACCGCCTTCTAGGGCCCATAGGATCACTAACACAGCTGATCTACCCACTGCTTCCTCAGGCGATTACTAGCTGACCCGCCCCGAGCCGCTGTCAGGGCCGCCCCGGACGTCCATGGTCCTACTCACGTCCGCCCTAGTGGCCCTATTCCCTCCATTCAAAAATATTCAAAAGGTGGGGACCAGCAGTTAGCATAATGGCTATGTCGCTGGACTCCCACGTAGTCGATTGCAGTTCAAGTCCTGGACCTGGCGGGTTAAATTCACGCCCGGCACATGTGTGTGCGTGCTCAGGATCCCAAGAGGAGAATGGAGGAGAAGGGATTGCGGTGTGACCTTCCCCCCTGGGGGGGTGATTTCTCGCTTTCTATCTCTCTGTCTCTCTCTGTCTTTCTGGCGAGGGCATGAGCCCTCTAGCGAAAACCGCTCAAAAAAAATATTCAAAAGGTTTACCACAGCATTGGTAATAAGACAAATATAACCTGTGATTCATTACATGTAGTCACCATTACTGTATTCATTTTTGTCTTCAGATTTTAAAAGAAAATAAAACAAAAGTATTTCCATGGCTCTGGAAGCCGTGAGGGCCCCGGCAGTTTCTACCACACCTAGGGGAGGTGGGGGCCTGGCCTCAATTGTTTACTTTCCTGCTCTGTGCTCGGGACCCAGGCTCAGAGAGGATGGGTGGGCACACTCACATACAGGTGCGCTGTTTCCGTGGTCAATACGTTTTTGACTTAGCAACCGGGTCATTTGAAATTGGAGGCCACTCCTTCCCTGGGTCTTGGGGATGACCCCCTTGGCCTGCCCCCCCTTATGGACAGTGAGTTGAGTAAGGGTAAAATCGGGGTCAGGAGTCACACTGCCTCTAGTTTTACTAGTAGAGCGGCACTCAGGGACTTCATGGGTGACCTGGACCACGCCGAACCGTGGGGCTGACCACGGGGCTCTGTACACTCGCTTCCTTTTACCTTCCCACTCCTTCCCTCTCCTCTTTTCTTCTCCCCTCCCCTCCCTTCCCCTCCACTCTCCCCTTCTGTTCCCATTGCCCCTTTCCCTCCTCCCTTCTTTTCTTTCTGGTCTTTCTTCTTTTTCTTTCTTTTTTATTGCCAGAGGTCATTGCATTCCTTGGAGAAGACAGACAGGACAGAGCTAGGCAGAGGGAGAACCCACTCCCTCTCCCATGGGGCATAATTACGCTGTGATCACGCCTCCTCCATTTCCGCATCCTGTCAGGGTTTGGGGCTTCCATGCACTTGTGCACGGCCGGTTTTTCAAGCTGCTGGAGTTGGGATTCAAACCACAGTTGGCCATGTGGAATCCGACTTCCCCTAACCACCAGGGCCAGCCTTGTACATTCCCTTTCAATGACGGCCCCTAAGCCCCAGGTCTGATTTCTCCACTCGGACTGACTAGTGTCACAGCACAGTGGTGACAGTCTTAGTCACTCCCGTTGCTGTAAAAAACAGAGTAATTCATAGAAATGCAAACTAATCTTCTAATAGTTCTGGGGCCTGGAAAGTTACAGCAGGTTCAGTATCTGATGAGAATCTATTCTCTTTTTCCAAGAGGGCGCCTTGGGGGTCCAGCAGGTGTTAAGGTGTTGGACTTCCCACATGGCTGACCACATGGAATCCCAGATCCAGTGGCTTGAAAATCATACCAGGAGCATGTGCATGTACGCCCAAAATCCCTAGGGGAGACTGGAGGAGAAGGAATTGCAGTGTGACTTTCCCCTTGGGGGGTGATTTCCCAGTTTCCCTCTCTCTGTCTCTGTCTCTCTCTAGGAAGAACATGCACCTTATTGCAAAATTAAAAAAAAAATGGTACCTTGAAGCTTGAATGCTGTGTACTCCAGGAGGGGTTAAGCATTGCTCCCTCATGGAGTAGAAGAAAATGAAGGATTAGATTCAACCTCTCAAGCCCTTAAGATGCTAATTCCACCCACGAAAGCCCCACACCTCCTAAAGGGCCCCTCTCTGAATGTGTCACATGTGAATACAGTTTCACTACATGTGTTTCGGGGACACACTGGGACCATCGTAGCAATGACCGGCTCCTGTGGGGCTTCCACGCTTACAGGAAGTTTATGCCTCGGTCAGACGACATCCCTCTCTGCAACCCGGCTCCTGCCTGTCATGACAGGCTCAGTGCCGGAGACTGTCACGTGCACCTCCATGTTAGCGCACGTGTTTCCTCTCGCGGATCGTACATCCTCGGCCTCTCACACATGGAAGACGACTGACAGAGATTTATCGACCGCGTGGCTCAGACATTAGCATCTGAAAATGTTGGACGTCTGAAGTCACATCTATAGTTTATTTTGTGTTAAACACAGCTTTGTCCAAAGGCAGCTTTGCTTCTGGGATCTTTCCAAGCGGCATCTCTGAAGTTCTGGGAAGTCCCGCAGACCACAGGTGTTTCAGGTTCCGGATTAGTGGTGCCGGGCCGCGGGACATGATGGCCGTCGGGGTTGTGGAAGTGGTGCCATCAGTGACCAGCTCCAGGCTTACGCTGCTTCCAGACATGCAAAGGTGCATTCTGCAAGAAGAACAAATGTGACTGCAGGCACTGCTGAGGGACAGGGTTTGCAGCCTTTCACCTGGAGGCGTTAGCTGCCTCGGGAGACCTTCCACGTCCCTCAGACTTTACTGCAGACCAGAACATCGTAGAACTCAATGGGCTGGCCCAGTCAACCTCAGTAGGACAGAGCCTTAGGAACGGCCAGGCCAGTCTTCGCACAGTTGGAAACCAGAAAAGACAGTGCCGACAAAAGCCTCTCATGAAGCAGCATGATCAGGCCAAACCTGGAAAAAATGTCTGTTCTTGTGCATTCGTGAAAGCGAAAACATCTGGTTGCAGAGACGTGGATTGCATAACAGCAGACACCACAGTTAGACAGGGGAGGGCGGTAAGGAGGATGAGGAGGACTTGGGTAAGAGGGGAGGGTGGATACATGAAATGGACCAGAGTACTGGAGCCAGGTCGAGTAACGAAGCGATTCGATGCCTACTTCTAAGTAGCCGAGGGTGCATTTCACCGCACGACACAGAGGGATGCTGAGCATTTGAGGTGACAGGCATCGTTACTGCCCCCTTCGATCATTACACATTTTTTAAGACACATGTTTTGGAAAAACACATCACACCCTATAAGTAGGTACAACTGTTATGTGTAAATTAGAAATACCAATGGAAAATTCTAGACAGCCCTGGTGGCCTATTTTAAGACACATGTTTTGGAAAAACACATCACACCCTATAAGTAGGTACAACTGTTATGTGTAAATTAGAAATACCAATGGAAAATTCTAGACAGCCCTGGTGGCCCTCACACCCTATAAGTAGGTGCAACTGTTATGTGTAAATTAGAAATATCAATGGAAAATTCTAGACAGCCCTGGTGGCCCGTTCTGAGAAGATGCCCAGACTGGACTAAAGGCAGTGGTGACAGCCTGGAGGTGAAACCTCAGAGCAGGAGGAAGACCAGGACTAGTGACACTCAGAGGTGGATGGCACGTCAAAGCACGCACGCCCACCTGGGCACTGGGACTGAAGCACGCCAGCCCTTCGAACTGACAGCCAACACACGGAGAACCCAAACAAGCAGGAAGAACTGAATAGCAGATCTCCCAGTAAGGAGAAGAATCTTCCTTCCAAAACTGCCACGGTTTCTGGCTGAGTGAGGATTTCTCTTCCTAAGCATAGAGATGAACAGGGTGCGCTCCGTAGGACAGGGAGTCCGGCCGTCCCTCCTGAGCACTCCATGGAGTCCATCCACTGGCCTGCTCTCGGAATGTGGTGTCGCGGCCTGTGCTGTTGGACACGTGGACTATGCTGGCTTATTTACGGATCTTCCTTATTGTCTACTAGGCCCTCGCAGGGAAAGGAAGAACCTCGTGTTCCAGCGCCCAGAAGAATGCAAATGAAGTCCAGGGTGAGGGGTGTCATCAGAAGAGGTGGCTGCTCTTGCCAGGCGTTCCAAGGACTTGCTCTTCTGTGGTCAGGGCCGCCATTGTCCTCCCAGCCTGCTGCCTGTGGTCCTCCTGTGTTTGACAATAGTGGCCTACCCAGAGAAGGCAGTTATCTGTCTGCCCGCCATTCAGGCCTTTCTAGCTCATTCATGAGCACTGTTTATTTTTGACATTGGACGCTTTGTCCACCTTGTAAGAAACAGAGAAGGGTGTGATCAGGTCTCCCGCTGTGCTTGTTTTGAATCTTGGGTAGGGTCCTGGGCTGTGTAACCTTGAGGAAGTCACAGACCTCCTGTAAACTCCAGTCTCATTTAAAGGGACGGATCGCGCTTTGCTTGTGGCCTGACTGCGAGGACTGGATGAAGCAGGGACGGCGAAGGCCTTGGCTCTCACTGTGGGAGCTCAGCAAGTATTCCTGTTCCCCCTCTTCCTCTTCATGTTCCATTCACCCCCAAACCACGGTCCAGATGAATTGTGGCTGTGGATAAATATTAAATACCATTTTCAAAGGCTGGAGAAAATGAAGACATCTCTAGAGGCAAGTTACAAGTTCCCAAGAACAACTTTCAGGTAGGCAATGCAAAAACCTGTGCAGCCAGCAACTCTGCAAAAATAAATCTCACATCAAATCGAGGTGGCCCTCAGAAGGGAGCAGAATCCTGTTGGCTGTAAAAACTTGTGCATATTAGTTGTTAAAGAGGAAGAAAAATGTCTGTCCTCCTACTTCATAGCTGTGTCTTACACATTCGCATTTCACATCACACGTATATCAAAACATAAATGTCTCTGCAATGCTCCAAAAACGTTTTCCATTCAAATTAGCTCAATCTGATTTCTCACTAAAATAAATACATTTCTTTCAATACACACTGGAGAGAAGTAGAAATTATGTTGTCTGGTATTTGATGCAAATCCAGTTACAAAATTTGGAGACAAAATAATACAATTACATTTCCTTTTCGAGTAATAAAGTAGAACGAATTGCTTAGAGGGATCTTCATGTTTCGAATAGAACTTACCCGGGAGTTGCTCATTTGCTTGTAGCCTGATCAGGGATTTGCAGGGATTTGCAGTTCTGCCAATCCTTTAATTGTTCAAAAAAGCTTTATGAGGAAGGTCATCCTCGCATTGTTTCATAAATCCTCCTACAACCTGACTGGTCACCTTATCCAGAGAACTGAAAACACAGCTGGCATGCAGAGAGGGTGTGTCCTGAAAGGGCAGGCTTTTCCTTCTTCTTTTTTCTGTATAGGTAATGTATTTGCTGATTCGAACATTAAGTTATAATGAGGAGACAATGAAAGGCCCCTTGCCCACCCTCGCTGTGAAGGTCGTACCACAATCCCTTCTCCACCTTTCTCTTCTTCCTGGATTTTGGACACATACACACATGGCCTGGTATATTTCTCAAGCTGCTAGGTCCAGGACTTGGACGGCACAGTCAGCCATGTGGGGTCCAGTCACCTAACTATTATGCCAGCAGCCAGCACTCTTCAGTAAGTACCCCAAATCTGCACTTAATCATTTTATATTTAATTTACTGTGGAAAATCTAAGGCAAAGAGAATACACTGCAAAATGACAGGGAAAAGAAATACCATATCTAAGACAGAACGTTGTTAAGAATCATGTCAACCTCTCAGAAAACAGGCAAGCAAGAAGAGAGTATAATTGCTAAAGTGTTAAGAGAGAATCTCTCGATCACCCTATAATTCTGTTTTCAGGGGAATTACTATTTAATAGTAGAGAAATAAAGTTTTTCTAGAACAAATAAAAACTTTAGGGATTTGTCTCTTTAGACCTGATTTAGAAGAAATGTTAAAAGAACTTCAGACAGCAGACAAGTATCAGAAACTATGATCTATATAAAAAAAGACTCGAAGAAATAAATAAAAACAATCCAATCTTTAATTTTCTTTTTCTTAGTTGATCAGATTGGTAGCCATTCAGAATGGAAATTACATCAGTTTACTGAGTGATTATAGCTTATAGACACACGAAACAACAGCAGTATTGACAGAGGAGGGAGAGAGAAATTGATCACACTCTGTTACAAGTTCTTGCACTACTACGAAGTGGACTTAGGTAGTAGTAAATGTGTATTGAAAACTGTGGGGCAACCTCTAAAATATTTAAAAGAGAAGTACAGTTGGTATGCTAACAGTGGAGAGACAGTGGAACCACATAACATGCTCAATTAAAATGACAGAAGAAAGATGAAAGGTAGATTAAAAATAGTAACAAAGGGACCCGTAGGTGGCATGGAGATTAAAGTGGCTAGATCCCACATGGCCAACTACACAGTTTCAGTCTAGGGCCTGGTGACTCGAAAAATACGCCCTGTCTCTGTGCGCACGTGCCCAGAATTCCGAGAATGGAAGTGAAGGGGTTGTGGTGTGGCCATTCCCTCTGAGGCATGATTTCTTACTTTCCCTCTCTGTCTCTGTCTGGCTAGTGCACATGCCCTGTAGCCAAAACTAAAGAAAGAAAAAAAGCAATAAAGAACAACGGCAATGAATCGAACACAGTTATGAATATGATAGATAATAATGAACTATATCAGCAATGATTTTAAATATAAAGGGCCTACATATGCTAAATAAAAGACAGAGGGTTTACAAAGGGAATTAAAACACACACACACACACACACACACACACACACGCACGCACACACGATGCAGCTACAAGTTGCTATAAGAAACGCTCTATAAGTGCAATGATGCAGGTAGATTGGAAGTAATGGGATGGAGTACCCGCTTGGGAGCCCAGCAGTAACAGGCAGCTCAAACAGCGCTGGGTCTATTTAGGTGACTGTGGGTTTGGTCCCGGGTGGACGTGTACACTCCAGGTGAGTGCACGCGTGATCCTGGATCACTGGTAGGAGGGGGGCCATAACGTGAGACGCCGTTGAGAGTGGTCATTTTTCTCTAAAAAACTCCCTCTTTCCTTCTTTGTCTGTCTCTCACTCACCCTTTGTTTCTCACTCTCCTGAAGGAAATAAATAAGTTTGATAAATAAATAAAAGCAAACGAATAGAGAAAGATATAATAACACCGATAGAAAGAAAGCTGGCGGGCCTAACTCTGTTGACGCAGGTAGTGGGGTGCGTTTTGCAAGCCTGGAGCTTCATGGGAGGCTAGGCTTAGTTCCCAGACCAACCCGGAGCAGTCTGGAGGTGCTGGTGCACACCTCTCCTCTCAGCATCTCAACCAACGGGGAGACCGGCAGGTGGACAAGGCATACCAAGGAAAGCCACACAGTCTAGCTATGACTGTCCTCTGCCTTGTACCTTCTCATGAACAGCAAATAAATAAATAGAAGTGGAAAGAAAGGTGGAGTAACTATATTAACTTTACACGAAGCAGACATCACAGCAAGAAAAATTGTCAGAGATGAAGGGGACCATGACGTAATGGTAAAGCGTCAATTTTTCAAAAGCGTGTAAGTTTTGAGATGTATGTTCCTCACAACAGGGCATCAAAATACAAGGGGTAAAAGCTGATGGAACTGTAAGGAGAAATAGATGACTCACCACGAGAGTTGGGAACGTAGCCCTCCTCTGTCAGA